TGTTTCCATTAAATTGCCTTGTAGGCAAGTACATGGAGGAATTTTCTTAGTTAATTATTGATGTGGAAAGGCCACCCCACTGTGGCAGTGACAGTTCTGGGTAGGTGGTCCTGAGCTGCAGAAGGAAGTAAACTGAGCAAGACATGGGAAGCAAAGCAGTAAGTGGTTTCCTCCATGGTCTCTGCTTCAGCTAATGCCTCCACGTTTCTGCCTTGGGTTCTTTTCTTTGTGGACTGTGAACTGTAAATAAACCCATTCCTCCCCAAGTCTGTTTGGTCAGTGGTTTCTCACAGCAATAGAAACCTAACTAAGATACTACACTTAGCCCTAACAGATTTCAGGAGCCCTTTGGACTTGAAGATTATTGGAGGGAGTCGGATTTTTCACGTGCACTAGCCCCATTTGAGATACTACAACTGATTGTAAGAGTCTCAAATCAGAGTTTCTAACCACGGTGAAAGCACTTGGGTGACTGGGAAAGACAAGCCATCTCATATGAAAGGGCTCAATGCTGCCACGGGGTACTTGTCCACTCTGTGGGTGTCCATTTTTATTTTTAGTTTTTTCAACTAATTTCTTTGTTTAATCATCAATAAACCTCCTTTTTATTGATTCCCATTTGTTTCTTGCAAGGAATTCAAAGGCTTAATGTCAGTTTTAATTTCAAAAGCTAGTACCAATTGAGAAAAGAGCTTTCTTCAGATCAATTTGCCCTCTCAACTTGACACTGAGCAATTAATAATGACTTGGCATATGATTTCTCTTCAATGAAGCAGAAGCCAATAGGACTGCAGCACCCAGATATAAAATTGTCATTTTTCCCTCTATCACGTTTGGATGTAGAGACCACAGATGCTTAAAGGGGCAGGATGCTCGCCTTCCCACTGACATCCCACAGCCATCCCATTGACTGTAGATGCCATTATTGCCTCACCAGTAGCTAATGAAGCCCATTTGGCAAGAACAATGCCTCCTTCTGCAAGCTGGTATCAACTCCTCATTCCCCTCCCACTGATTGCAAATTGACAACTTCACTGTCCATCTCAGCAATTTAGAAGCAATTCAAGGTTGCTAAATTGACTTCTTGGGATCCCACCTCAGTTGACCAAGGAAGTCTTAGGTGGGTTCTGCTCCAAATGTGAAGCCCAGTGACTCTTCCAGGCCTGCCCAGGTCTGCTACTGGTGCCCCTTTCACCTCACATTAGCATCCCTTCCTAGCTTTAGGGACCCCTTTAGCAGAGAATTCTCGGGACTTGTGACCATAGCCTGTTAACCTCCACACCACTAGCACATGGAGGTGAATTAGGTTTTCCTAAAAGGTTAGGAGAGCAAACAGGAATGTTAGTGCAAACAGGGGGTGTGTTGATTTTCCACAGCTACCTCCACAGGCCAGGAGGCAACAGACAGAGGCCAAGACCTTAACGGTATCACTCACTTCCACCTGGGAACAATCAGGTGTTTCCTACACTCCTCTTGCTACTGAAATCCTCTTTTGAATGTACACCTGTGTGCCAGGATGATCTAGGCTGTGTGATCTCCCCCTGCACTCCTTGAGGGTCTTCCTCTCTCCCAGGTGTTGCTTTCTACCCAAAGATCAAGCTGGCACTGACTGGTAGAACATGGCACACTCACACACACATATGCACACGTGCATACTCTCACTATTTCACATATGACCATACACTCAAACACACATGAACTTTGATGGGTTACATATTCATACACTCACACAAATAGTCTCAAACATCATCCCCCACATTCATATACATACGCTTACACATACACACACTCACAATCACTCTGATATAGTCACACATGTACTCACATACACACTTTCATCTTCTTGTCCCCTGCCCCCCACTCACACATCCCCAAGTCCTACATCAGTGAGAAGCATGAGAATCAACTCAGCCTCCAGGGATGCAAACATATCCTAATTTTCCGAGTTCATGAGACTTTGACTGTCTTCACAGAGGCTACAGCACTGTCTCACCTTGGCCATAGCATTTCTCCTTGCAAAATTTCTCTAAACCGTTTTAAATTGTGCCTCGTTGGACCAGTAAGGAATAAGAACGGGTTCACTTCTGAGAATACCTACATGTTTCCTTGATTTAACCAAGATGCAACTAAAGTTTTAAACTAACCACTTCATAGGCCTGGGAGACTCAGCTACTTGCTTCATCTTGGGACTGAGGGAAGGGAGTGACCATCTAAGGGGGAAGCATGACTTGCTCAAGGATCTCTCTTCTAGTCACCTGTTCTCCACTGTCACAGCCCAACACAGTCTCACCCAGTCATCTGCACATCGACTTCTCTAATGCCTACTGAAGACCCGGCATTCAGCTGAGACACCCATTCCAGTTTATGTGTTACCCCGTGTTAGAGTCAACCTAAGCATGTTCAACCTGCCCCAACAGCCTCATGCTTGCCAAGATAGCTGCAAATGAAGCTCATCACATTTGTAGAACATAATATCGTGTGATGGTGTCAAAGAGTTGGACACCTCTGGTATCATAAGCATCTCTTTGAATGGTATATCTCAATAATAGTTTCATAAGCTAGTTGGTGAGATGGCTCAGCGGGTAAAAGTGTTTACTACCCATGCCTGATTGGGTTTAATCCCCAGAACTGACTCTGTAAAGTTGTCCTCTGATCCCTAAACACACACATATATACACTGAAACATACAGTAATCATACTACACACTAGTAATCAGTTTTAAAAGAACAATTGCATCTCACTTCATATATCATAATAAAGTAACTCCAACACTTTTATTTCAAGGAACTACTACCATAGAAAGGAGAGATGAAGGGGGGGATAGGGGATAGATAGATGATAAATGATGGATAAATTGATAGATAGATGATTGATAGGTAGATGATAGGGATAGATAGATAGATAGATAGATAGATAGATAGATAGATATGATTAATGGATGGATAGATAGATGATAGAGATAGATGATGTTAGAGTAGATAGATAGACAGGCAGACAGACAGACAGACAGATAGATAGAATATAAAGAAATAGCAAGAATAGATGTGTAAGTACAAAGAATGAAGAGGTAATGGTTGCTCTATCCAATGCTGACAGACTCCAGTCATTCTCTCAAAGAAGGTGCCCAAGACTTCCCTGTCTCCAGCTTTCCTCTTCCCATCCAGCTGTTCTTCTAGATGGCTGCACTGACAACTTCATTAGTGATCCCAGACCTGTATGTTCCAAGGAAAATACACATTAGGATTTATTATGGTCCCATCTGGACCCTGAGGAGCAGCAGAGGGTGCAGCTGCCTTCTGAGGTTCTTGCCAATGACCTAGAAAATCAGCACACCCCTGACCTCAAGTGGAAGCTTCTCCATGCCCCACCCCAAGACAAACATTCCAAGTCACCATCTGGTACTTCCTGTCCTCCCTAGTCCCTCCCATTTGGCCCCTGGCAAGGAGCCTACAACCCTGGAAAGGTTTGAGAACTCTGCCGAAGATGGATCCAAGAACAAACGGTAGAGCCAGGGCACAGATGTGCTCAAGTACACGTCCAACAGATCAGCTCAGGCTGGATGCAGAAGGACGTGATGCTTACACCTCTCCTTAGTACAGAAAGTACATAGGTCACACTGTGACCACAGCTGTCCTCACAGTTCAGAAACCAACATGCTGTCTCCAGGGTCCTCAGGCCAATAAATCAAGCAGCAAAGACCCCATCGATGACCTCAGTGAATGGCCATTAGAAAGCCCACACTTGGCTTTCTTTGACTGACATACCAGTGCTTTCTTAAAAGCCCAAGAACACGGTTGCAGAAACCCCACGTTCATGATCAATCTCTCTGTAACAGTGACTACTAACCACAAGTTTGCTCCATCTCTAAAGAGGGAGGAAGAGATGTTAAAAGCCACGTCACATGTTTCTACTTACACTTAGCTCATATTTAAAATACAGCCCTATTACTCTCTTTTAAAATTGCATTAATATATTTACTCTGGAGACTATGGTATGTGAGAGTGGATAGATTCCTGTGTAATATGGTGCATGTGTAGGTACATGTACGTCACAGTGTGTGTGTGTGTGTGTGTGTGTGTGTGTGTGTGTGTGTGTGTGTAACTCAGAGGACATCTCATGGTAGTCAGTTTTCTGCTTTCACAGTATAGCTCCTGGGGACTGAATGCAGGTCACTAGGCACAGTGGCTGGTGCTCAGCCCACTGAACTCTCATTGGCTCCAAGCCTACTCATCTTTGTTACCCAGCTTTCCTTCCCTCAAAGAAAAGGAGTAGAAGATAAAACTGGGTAACAGGAACTTGAGAGCTGGCCCAGCTAGCTGTTAAGAACACTTGCTGTTCCCGCAAAGCACCCAGGCTCAGTCCAGCACACCCACATGTACACAGCTGCCTATACTTCTTGTTCTACGGGACCTCATGCTCTGGTCTCTGGGAGCACCGCACACATGGGATGCACATACATACACTCAAGAACACACATACTGCACATACACAAGTTAGTCCTCTTAAAAAGAAAAGAAAACTACTTAACATAATTTAAAAACAATAGCAGCAGGAAATATCAAAGTCCAGCTAGATGACATATTTGGGTAAGTTGGGTGAGCAGCACCTCAAATTTTTTACCATTCAGAAAATAAGCACCTGGTTCAAATATGGGGGGTGGAGGGTTCTTCCAGCTGTGAGCCTAGAGTGCCATAGAGGCTTTGGTTCTGAAGGGTCACTTGTGTAAAGCCTTGTGAAAGGCTTCTCACAGGAAACGTAAGTATCGACACTCCAGGCTAGGTGCTCACTCAGATGGAGGGCAGAGTTCTTGGCTTCCCAGACACTGATGACTAGAGCAAAAATAACCTCGATTTTTATAGACTGGATTTTTTTTCCAAGGCCTTAGCCCATAATCTTATTAAATGGGACAGTTCAAAATAAGTTTCCCTGGGAAACTGAGAAAGAGGCCACAAAGTCACTGCTTTAGTTCCAGAGCAGAGCCTCAGAGTTCACATCCCAGTGCCCCTCTCCAGGAACCCGGATGCCATGCTTGGGTGTGCACAGCCAGCTGCGCTGTTTGTTGAAGACTTAACTAGCTGCTGGTCCACTCAAAGTCCACATCTTCAGGAATGGCAGCCTATCCTTCAGTTCTGGTGCCTGGAAAGCTCGGAACTTCTGTCCGTCCACCACTGGGCCAGTCAGTAGATTCTGTCCAGAAGCTATCTGTTCACTGAGCATGCTTGGAAGTCCCATCAGAGCCCCATGCTGTCCTCCTGGTGCCTTCAGCTTTGTTAAACCCCACCTACTGGTGTTTCACAGAAGCCCAAAGCCCAACAGAACCTCATGAGGTTCCTCACCTTTCCCTTAGCTCCTCACTGGATACATCTGTCTCCTTCCACATCCCTCTCATGATGGAGAAGCCTCACTGTCTTTCCTGGCTGTCTGACACCTTCCTCTTCCATATCTCCTGCACGCTGCTGTACTGTTTCCTGGCCAACATCCACCTATTGGTCCTACTCTGCCTCTTCTGAGAGTACCCAGCATGCCTTACCGTGTATCCCTTCCCGCTAACATGTAATTCATTGTACATTATTCATGGCTTTATTACCTGCCCCCTGGTGCCCAGCCCTCCAGTGAGAAGTTCCCTCCTCAGAGCCAGGAAAGCTGGTGAGTTTGCCCAGCCTGGGATACTTTCTCTTGGTTGTAAATGTCCCCAGACAGTCCAAAGTTCTGCACTCATGAAGTGGTTCATCATTACACTATTCAGGAATTAAATTTGGCAATGTGCCTTCAAGGGGCTGCATAAATTACAGTATTGTAAAAAGAATGTTGTGATTGTTTCCAGGCTTCAAACTGCTTAGGAAAGATGTTGCTTTTGTAATGTGCTCCATCTCCTGGGGTTCCTGAGACATCAAAAGTGAGCTGAAGCACATAGCTCTTACAAGGCCGACAAAAGCTCAATGTTTTATTAATAGCTTTGCCCCATTGCCCTTCTAACTCATGCCTTGAGAGCCCAAGCCTCTCTGGTTCTAAACATTTGTAACATGATGATCCCTCCCCTGGTTAGGCAGGGCTTCACCTAAGTGCAGCATCAGCTCCTGGCTGCTCAGCTCCTTTATGGAGATCTTAGGAGCAGTGGGCAGTGGAGCCCAGAGTGGAGTCTCCATCAAGTACCCCGTGTCTCCTCCCACTGCTACGCCCTGGCTGGTCTTCAGTTCTACATGCCCTGCCCTCTCCAAGGACATCCTCCATGCCCTGCTTGAATGACAAAGCTTCACAACTGTGTTGGGAGCTCCTAGCCGAAAGTGACTATCATCTTTGCAGCCATCTCAGGCCATATATGCTGACAAGAGACTTGTTTTCAACAGCCTACAACAGCTGAGCACACTCTGATAAATATCTTGTTTTTCTCACATATCTTGTTTTGCTGTTTAGTGCCGCCAGCTGCAAGGCGCACGTGGTCTCCTCACTGCTAGCTAGGTGCACATGATATCCACGCTGCTGGGTGCACGTGGTCCCCTCACAGCTAGCTAGGCGCACGTGATATCCACGCTGCAAGGCACATGACGTAGTGCCTTCAGCTGTGCTTGTCCACGAGGGCAAGGCACATGGTAAAGGGTATAAATACCCAGGATTTCCTTCCAATAAACGAGACTTGAGAGACTTGATCAGACTCCCTGTCTTGTCTCCATTCTTCGAGTCTCCGTCCCCACTCTCTCTCTTGCTAGGCCCTGACCCGAGGACCAGAGCAGCAGAACGGGCGGCTACAAAGTGGCGCCTCAACGTTGGAGCTCCAGTAAGCGGGAATTGGAAGCGTGCATCCTCACTCCTGCGCTGGAGACCCTGCTGACTGACCCGAACAGGCAGCAACAAACTGCCTTTCCCCTGCACTTCCTTGGAACCATGCTCTCTGGTACCCAGGCAGACTATCTGAAATTCTGATGTCCCTGGGTTTGCTCCATGCTCTGAGATCCTGGTCTAAGCTATGAGATGGCTGGTCTGTACCCTAAGCATGGTGCCTGGGAGCTGGGACCATGCATAGGGTACAGCCCATGTCTGTTTGTATGGCATACTCTTCTGTCACCTGCAGTAGCAGAGGCACTGGCTGCTGAAGATGAAAGTAGTGTGAGGAACTAGGTAGCTATAACCTCTGTCTTAGTTAGGATTTTACTGCTGTGAACAGACATCACCAACCAAGGCAAGTCTTATAAAGGACATTTAACTGGGGCTGGCTTACGGGTTCAGAGGTTCAGTCCATTATTATCAAGGTAGAATCATGGCAGCATCCAGGCAGGCATGGTGCAGGAAGAGCTGAGACTTCTACATCTTCATCTGAAGGCTACTAGTGGAAGACTGATTTCCAGGCAGCTAGGATGAGGGTCTTACACCCACAGTGACACACCTACTCCAACAGGGTCACACCTACTCCAACAAGACCACACCTACTCTAACAGGGCCACACCTTCTAATAGTGCTACTCCCTGGGCTGAGCAAATACAAACCATCACAGCCTCCAAAGAATGTGAAGGAGCAAACCTAGAAACCCAGCTTCTCTGGTTCAGGGCCCAGAACCAAAACTTGTTGCCCATCAGTGCAATTTTTCTAACTCTGGGTTTTTCCCTGGAAAGTTATAAAATCGGAGGTAAGTGTCGGACAGACTTACCACCTTTCACTGAGACCCGGATGGTGGAGGGAGTCACCTGACTGGGGTGAAAAGGGAATGAAGAAAGGACACTTCTATGGAAAAGCTGGGATCGGGTGGGTCATGCACTCAGATGGAGACTTATCACCAACAGCAACCCACAAACTCAGGCAAGGAGGTAGGTTTGTTCTATCAGTGGAACAGGATGCAGGTTTAGCTAATCTGGTAGGAGATCTCATGTGGGGGGAGGGGCAGTCTCAGCAAGTCTTCCGGAAGGAGGAAGCTGGCGTTGCTAGTTTTTGCACACGCAGATCAATTGTTTACCTGGGTCAGAAGGAGGCTTTGGCATTCCCTTAGGTCTAAGCGCTTGACATGGGGTCTTAGACATGGCTATGACCCTACCAACATGGGGGTCTTAGACATGGCTGTGCCTCTGTCAACATGGGGGTCTTAGACATGGCTGTGCCTATGTCAACATGGGGGTCTTAGAGATGGCTGTGCCTCTGTCAAAATGGGGGCCTTAGACATGGCTGTGCCTCTGTCAACATGGGGGTCTTAGACATGGCTGTGCCCCTATCCGTAGTATACATTCACTTAGAACTGAATCCCCTCCTCAGAATTTGAAAGGAGCTTGATAGTGGTAGCCTATGGTGTGGTGTGAGGTAGGTTGCACCTTTAAGAGCTTTATAACGTTGAACCATCTCAAGAATAGTACCTCAGCCTCACAAAGCTACAAGACAGAGTGGGTAGGGACAACTCTGTCAGAGCTGGTGACTTCAAGCCAAGGGGTACACTTGCTAATACCCTTGTAGGTCTATGTAAGTCAATAATCTCTCCTGTACAGAACTAATTCACAATGGCAGGATGTCTATGACATACTCACATGCCAGGACCATGCTGGGCCCTCAAGCAATGTGAGACAAGGTCCATTTACTGGGATACTTGTGACCTAATTAGGTCAAATGTCAATACATTTGACCTAATATTGTTTCAAATAGACAATGAGAAGTGTGTGTGTGTGTAGTGCACACACATATGAGTGTGAGAACATATATCATACAGATCCTTGTTGTGAACCCTGTCCATTGTTTATGACAGACACTGGTGATTTGGATGGTCAAGTCTTCTGTTACAGTTTATTTTGCTTTGCTTTGTTGACACAGCCTCACTCTACAGTGCAGACCAGCCTGTGACTCACTATGTAGTGTATGTAGTCTGTCCTCAAATGCTCCTGCCTACCTCTCCCATATGCTGGGCATAGAGGCTTCACACTCAGAGCCATTGCTGCCTGAGATCATAGACATGGTTTGTTATGATGGCATCGAGTTCTCACTGAGTAAGTCTCCCTTCTGGGAGATGGCAGCCTTGCAGTCTCCAGGAAGCTCCCTGCTACCACAGTCCTTTGGTGAAGTCGCAGAGACTTTGCATCATGTCTACTCTTCCACCAAGACAAGAAAACATGGGCTTTTGGCTTCATTTTTCAAGTGCAAGTTGGAACATTACTTTTCCTCTGTCTCTTTTATCTCAGTTATTGCTGTAAAAATTAGCCTCTTGTACAAAACCACTCTCTGAGGCAACAAGCCCTCATGTGTCCCCACAGAAGCTCAGAGAGTGCAGTCTGTCTGTCATAGGCTGCATCTATATGCTCTCTCAATGACCTTCCTGGAACTTGAAGCTGAGGACGAAACTCTCAGCCCCTAACACTCCATAGAAGGGAGACTCTGAAGACCTGGGAACCTGCAGGACATAGGGGTCAGAAGGTGTGCCTTAGTTACTGTATTACTGTTACAAAGAGATACCGTGACCAAGGCGTTGCTTAAAGAAAGCATTTAATGGGGCTGGCTTACAGATTCAAAGGTTTAGTCCATTATCACCATGGGAGGAAGCAGACAATCATGATACCAGAGCAATAGCTGAAGACTTTCTGTCCTGACCCACAGGCAGCAGACAAAGAGAGACACTGGGCCTGATGTGGGTGTTTGAAATGCCAAAACCCACACCCAGTGACACACCTCCTCCAACAAGGACAAACCTACACCAACCAAGTGGCTTCTCCTAATCTTTCCAAACAGTTCATCAGCTAAGGACTAAGCATGCAAATATATGAGCCTATGAGGAGCATTGACAATCAAACCACCACAGGGTGGATGCAGGAAGGAGAATTGTTACCAGGGCTTATGTCTGCCCAGTGTGACCCAGTCTTGTCTTGATTACCTTTAGATCAAGATGTAGAACTCTCAGCTCCTTCTTCAGGGCCATGCCTGCCTGGATGCTGCCATGCTTCCAGCCTTGATGATAACAGACTGAACATCTGAACCTGTAAGCCAGCCCCAATTTAATGCTGTCCTTTAAAAGAGTTGCCTTGGACATGGTGCCTCCTCATAGCAATGGAAACCCTAACTAAGACACATGAAATAACTAAGATTTGGAACAGAATTGGCCTATAGATGATTCCGGCAACTGTTTCAAGAAAAAAAAAAAAACAGCCAAGCTGACAATTCAGCAGAAGGGATGTTTACAATAAGCAGGGACGCTGATCAAAAGCGCCAATTTTAAAAAATGGTGCAGCTTTCTCAAAATTATGCAACCTCTTATTATACTGTTCACTCTGGTTTCATCTCTCAGTCTTCAAAGAAACGCCAGGACACTAGACAGGATGAAAGGGGGGTTGATTAAAGAGAAGGAAACTGCACCACAGAGATCAGAATGCTGGAAGAACCTGAGGAAGGCCTGGGAATCTGAGTCTGGGCTGCAAGTGCAGACTCCATAGTCCTAGATGATCCCTCAAAGTTGAGCTCACCACCTGGCAAAGGTGCTTTTAAAGAGAGGAAACTGTCCCTGCTCTAGCAAAATATTCAGGTCTCTGATGGCCCGAGCAGAATCCCCACAAACACCCCTCAGGGACAAAACAGGAGAAAGCACAAGGCTCTGAGCTTCTGCCAGTGCTGCCTGAGGGTCAGACTGAAACGCTGACATCTTCAGCAATGTCAGAGAAGAGACACAGAGAGAGGGCAAAACTTCCAGAAGGAACCCTGAAGTTACCAGAAGGGCCCTGCAGTGTTATGGAGATGTAGTGTTAAGTGTGATGACTTAGGGTTCTAAGTGGCCTGTAATAGTGCCCAGCCGTTTGTCTATGTGACACAAAGCATTGTCATGTAAAAGTTCACATTAAAGAACCAAGCAGTTGGGACACACAGCTCAGCAGTTAAGAGTACTGACTGCTCTTCCAAAGGTCCTGAGTTCAATTCCCAGCAACCACATGGTGGCTCACAACCATCTGTAATTGGATCTAGTACCCTCTTCTAGTGTGTGTCTGAAGACAGCTACAGTATATTCATATAAATAAAAATAAATCTTAAAAAAAACAAGCAATTCGGTTATCAAAATGAATAAAAAATAAATAATGTAAAGTGGTTTCATGGTTCTTTACACAAATTTTTATTTACATTGGCACTGGTCCTGCCCCTGTACTTCTCAGGGAGAGTGTCTACTACTCTCTAACACATTTCTGAAGCTGAGTTTCATTAGAAATGCTACAGAAAAGTTGACAAGATGACTCAGCCGGTAAAATCACTCACTAGCTGTATAAACTGCTAACACGTGTGATTATATCTTTGTTCACCTGACGTAACTGTCGTCTCCGAGACTTACTGCCTCTGTCTGCTAACCTAGGCCTAGTCCTGGAAGCTTCTACCCAACATATGATCTAATCTAGTCCTAGAATGTTTTCAGCCTCTGAGACTTACTGCTGAATAAACTCACCCTTTCTAGATCTTTCTGAACTCTAGCTGGCTGGTCAGCTCAGCTGTTCTGGCTCAAATGCCTCTTCCACTTGACTGATTCGATCTGGTTTCTCTCTCATTATCTGACTGAATTGTTTTGCTTGGCCTCAAACTAACTCTGGCAATCTGTTCTAATCTGACTTCTCATTCTCTGGCTCATTCTGTCTTCACCTGTGTCTTTATCTTGTTCTCTCTTTAACCTGTCTCTGTAAGATTCTCCCAGTAAAGGTCCCCTGTCCTTTGCCCTGTTTTCTCTGTTCCAGTGAGAGCTGGCCGTGTCCTATTCTGTTGAATCTTTCTCTGATTTGTCACTTTGTCTGCCACTCAATTAGACATCACCTTCAAACAAACTTCCTTGCTTCCTTCTACAAACTAACTTCATTTTTTGGGATTAAAGTTGTGTACCAAGAGTGTGTTTGTATTTCAGCCACAGGGATTAAAGGTGTGTGCTTAAGTCTGAGTCACACCACAACTAGAAACAGGTTTTTCCAGTAAATAACACAATCTTGGGGTTCACAGTGTGATAAAATATCCTGCAATAACCATGACAATTCTAAGGCATAGTTGAAGGTAAGTCGATTTGGTGTTTTTTGTTTTCTGGTGTTTTGTTTTGTTTTGTTTTGTTTTGTTTTGTTTTGTTTTCCCTGTGTAGCCTTGGCTGTCCTGGAACTTGCTCTGTAAAACAGGCTGACCTTAAACTCAGAGATCCACCTGCCTCTGCTTTCTGAGCTCTGGGATTAAAGGCATAACTAAAGGTTTTTATTGTAGATTTATTGTAGAGGAAAAGGAAAGCCAGAGACATCTTGGAAGAGTCCAGAGCAGAGAGAGAAAGTGTTGAGTTTGGTCTTTTGATATGCTAAACACTGGTTGCTCCCAGACCTCACTTAGACCTAGGTGATGCTATGTGACCTTGCCCACCAAGTTATCCCTGACTGGTGAATAAAGATGCCAATAGCCAACAGAAGAGGCATAGGCCTGGTTTAGGGTCTCCAGGCTTGGGGTCAGAGAACCATGAGGTGGGGAGAAGAAAGTGAATAGAGGAGAAGCCTCCATAGGGTAAGAATTTTAAAATAATGGCCATATAGGTTGGCATTTGTAACGAAGCAAAGCTTCAGCAGTAGTTAGAGAGTAAGAGACAGTCACCCTGAACAGTACAGGGAGCAGGATCCTAGTATCAGCTATAACTTGTCTTCTGTGTGGGCTTTGAATCCAGAGGGTAGGACAGTTGTACAGGAACGTGTTCACTTACCCAAAACTGAAAACCAGACATGCAAGTCAAGGAAGGACACAGCCTAGGAGTCAGACAGACCTTGATTACAGCTTCCTTCAAAAGGAAGCCATCAAAGCTGTTTGATGGTTCAGATCTGAAATGTCCCCTCAAAGCTCATGTGCTAAAGGCTTGATTCTCAGCTGATAGTGCCCCTGGGAGGAGTCGGAAATGCCAGTAGCAGGGACTAGTTAGGGAGAAAGGTCATCAAGTGCATGCCCTTGATGGATACATGGGAACCTCTCTCCCTCCCTCTCTCTCTCTCTCTCTCTCTCTCTCTCTCTCTCTCTCTCTCTCACACACACACACACACACACACACACACACACACACACACACACACCAAGCATGGACTGAATGAAGCCTCCTGGTGAGAAGCCAACATAAGGTTTTCCGTCCTTTAAGATCCCTTGTCACAGGAAGCTGAGTGATAACACACCATCATCTCTGGTTGGGAAAGTGGCAGGTGGTGCTGTACCTTGAAGGTCAACATTCGATAACTGAGGAAACAAAAAGTACCTACTTCTTAGCCACATGGTTCGCCTCCACTTCCTTGCTGACAACAGATGGTCAGAAGTTACTCTGAAGGGGAAGGGCAAGAAAACGTGAGCACTGTCCATACTAGGCTCCTGATTCCTCGACTTCACGACAGCTAGGAAGATGGCTCAGTTGATAGACTCATTGCTGTGTAAGCATTAGGCCCTGAGTTCTATTGCTAGCAGCCATGTGCAAGCCATGCATGGCCATGCACAATTGTAACTCCAGTGCTAGAGAAGCAGGAGAGAAATACAGAACCCTGAAGCTCGAGAGTCAGCCAGTCTGTCTGAATCAGTGTGTTCAGATTCAGTGACAGACCTTGCTCAAAACACAATGTGAAGAAGCAATTGAGATGGGAAAAAAACAAATCCTCTTTTGGTCTGAGAAGTCAGCTGAATGTCAATAGAAATCAATACATTTTTTTACCTCTCAGGAAAATAGAAAATCAATTAAATACTGATACCTACTGTCTACCTCTGGCCTCCACATGCATACACACATAAGCATACACACACATGTATCAGACAACTCCATAAAAAATGGGCTAAGTATATTAACCAAAGAAATGACATGTAGCCGCTATGAAGCCTCAGTCTTGCCAGTACTGTATGAAGGGAAAACTGGAGACTTGAGACTGGCTTTCCAACCCAGCAGATAACAATGATCAACTAATAATTTGCAAACATACATACATACATACATACATACATACATACATACATACATACATTACCAGTGTTGGTAAGGATGTGGCAAAAAGCAACACTTTTAATCACTATGATGGAAAGGGTAAGTCTTCCCAGAGGAAGCGGTGCCAGTACCTATATGCTGGGCATCCTCAGGAAGAGGATGTCTGTGACCCACACAGTGACCTCAGGGTGTGCAGCCTCCAGGTGTGCTGGATGCTGCTGGCAGGAAGAGGAGATCTGCATTGCAAATGGAAACCGTAGCTGCACATGCTCTCTGGTGCCTCTTTGTCAAGGAAAACTCCAACACTTGTACAGCTGAGACCAGAGCCAAGAATGGACAAAATAAGGTATCCAGTAGAAATATCAAGGGCCCAACCCTGAGGTCACATGGGTTGGAGTGGGGAACCTGGGAGGAGAACCCTCTAACTGGCATTTGTCATGCTGCTGAGAAACATCACCACCAAGCAGCACAGCAAGGTCCACCAGGTTCTCTTCATGGGTGGTGTATTAGTTAGGGTTCTCTAGAAGAACAGAATTAATAGAATGAATATTATGTGCATGTATCTATATATGTATGTGTACATGAATATACATATTTACCTGCATGTATAATATATAGATATTTACATGTGTATATATACATATTTATACAATTGCATATATTTATAGAATCTATACATATATACTATATATGTGCCTATATATGGGATTTATTCAAGTGGCTTACAGGCCGTCGTCCAACCAAAAATAACCCATCTGCAATAAAGAAATATGAAAAAGGAATTCATTAATTCCAGCTGTATTCAGTTGACAACCAAGAAGAGCCATCATAGGTAATTAGTCTCACTGAAGAAAAAACAGCCTGCTGAGAGGTGAGTGCAGTCCAGGCCTAGGAAACCCATCAAGGAGAAGTACACATGGCTGCAACGAAGTCATCTTTATTCCCTCATCAGCAGAGAACCTCCAGAGGGATTTTTGGTTTGTTTTAGTTTGGTTTGTTAGGACACCATTCCATTATGTATCTTGGTTAGCCTGGATTCACTGTATAGCACAGGCTGGCTTAGAGCTTGCTGTGTAGCTCAAACTGGCTTCATACTCACCATGTAGCTCAGGCTGGCCTCAAAATTGCAGTCTTCCTAAGTAATAAGACCATAGGTGTGCACCGCCACGCCCATCTGAGAGATGTGTTTTTCAAATGAAAATCACTACTGGTTCCATCAGCCTCTTCTCTGGGCACAGACAGCCTCTTCAAATGTCCAGAAATGGAAGCCAGTTGTAAGGAGAACCTCTCTCTCTCTCTCTCTCTCTCTCTCTCTCTCTCTCTCTCTCTCTC